ATGCCGACAAACAAACAAAAGCTGACAAACAGAAGATTGCTGAACTGGCCTGACTGTCTCTTTATCATTTCTCCTTACAGTTGTGTTGAAATAGACACAGAAATCCAGCGTTATGCAATTTTCTCTGATTTCGCTGATATAACTATCTTATGCAGCTGATTTATGGTAATTAAAGAAGCTGGTATATTATCTGCATTTGGACACATTTGAATGATTTGATAATTAGGACATTTCATACTTTGAAAAAATAAAGGAGATTCTACCAAAACTCTGAGAAATTCACTCCTTTCTGGATTTCTATAAAGTTTGTGTATTAACAATTCATATCCAAATATAGTTTAAAAATTCTGTTAGCATACTAACACATCCAATGAGTGCTAAATTTTCTAAAGTGAGGTTGAGAAGAGGCAAAATTAAAGGAAAAGCTTAAAATGTTGTAGACAGCATTAAAATCTACTACCAACAAATAAAGTAAAATTAAGAAGGAGCCTAAATTGCAGAAATGTTATGAAGTAAACAAACCAACAAACCTGCACAGCTTATCATCATAAACAGTCATGAAGTGCTGGGGAGTGCGGGTCAGGAGGCAGAGAGGATATTTTTTTCTGGATTACACAATTACTTGCTTGAGTGCCCCGGGCACATGAAAGCTTTATCCAGGTGTGCTTCGCATCAGGGACATGACTTTTATCTGTAGATTCTATGATTTAGTAGAGTTATGTCCCTTGGAAAAGAAAATATACCTGTTTCCTACAGGACAAAGCAAGGCAAAGGTAATGTTTTGCATTAGAAGTGATTGTGTTTGGTTTTCAGTATTTGATCACTGGGGCGAGAGGGAGTGGGAAGCATGAAAGTACACAGTCAGTAGAGTCTGTGCAGAGGAAATAGTACAGACTACAGAAACAGCAGACTCCCACCAACCACGAATTTTGGAAGGTTTTGGCAGCTTCTGCTTTTCCCCTCATGCTTGAGAACATTTCAAAGGCAAGATTACAAAGGAAGACATCACATGTTCAGTTCGAAACTGTAACAGGGGCTCCGGGTAGCGGAGAGGGGGTAGGTACAGAGGCAGCGCCCGCTGTTTTTCAGGATTCACTTTTCAAAGCACTTACCTTTATACCTCTGTGTGCAGGTAAGGATCACAGCCCAGCAGATGATCCACCGCCTCTCCATTTAGACAATAAGGAGGAGGATTAGCTAACCTGAGACTGCGTTACCAACCTGTGCCTCTGACCTAAATACCACAGTTAAGCAACAGTGTTTTGTGAATGCAGGACTTCAGGCAGGAACTGGACTGATACAAACCTGGCACGTGACAGCCTTTGCTCTAATCAAGTGCTTTATAAACATGCAGCTCCAGTCTTGCACCTATGAATTATGAATTTCTCAATACATCCAAGGGGTAAGGTTGTCACACACCAGAAACCCGAGGTCACAGAAAAGACCAAAGTAGTATCACCTCCTTAAAGCAGTGTGACTAAAGACTTGCATTAAACCTCCTACTCTTTCGCTTTTCCCCTGGGAGGATTTTCTTGGCTAGAAACCCCTACCACATACTGATCAAGATGTTCACCTCGTTCTTACCCAGTGGCATGCCTAGAGTGCAGATAAGAAAATAGTGGAAAAAAACCCATAACCAACCTCCAAAGTAAACCAGAGTCGGCAACAACAAAATGCTCAAATCCCCGCCTTTACAACTGTTTGAGAATTTAAATAATTGCATTGGCAACTACTTTCCACCGCTTAAAACTTCATCTCTCCCAGGAAACTAGAGAAGGGAAGAGAAGAAAACTACCACTATTTGGATATTCCTTTTGCCGAGTCTATCATCTTTGTTAATAGCCTCTAATGAATAACTCACTCAAGGATAAACATGCTGGCACTATTATTTTGTCAGCAGAGTCAGTATGATTCAGAGGAGAGTAGTCATATGACTGTCACAGTTTCTAAGTTGTCAAAACCCGTGGGAAAACAAAAATTAGTAGCTGAGAGAGAAGCTTAATTCTCACTACTGCAAACAACTCAGCAGCCTGTATCTAATTCAAAATACATACACACAAACTTAAAAGGGAAATATTACTATCCAACAGAAACTACTCTAGAGCAGACAGGTTTCTCTTGCCTGAGAGGCCTTAGAATGACAGAGAAAATCACTATAAATTATTTATTACACCAACTTGGCTGAAGTAACAGTTCTTTGACACACAGTCCCCTCTTCTCAGAAGAGTCTTAAATCATGCTGACTTTAAAAGTGCCAAGGTGGACACAAGAGTGCATCTAGGCATGACAGTTCATGCTTCCTACACCAGACTTCCCTTTTGCATCCTAGTCTTTTCAAATGGGTGATAACAGTCATCAAAAGTTAAATGTCTGCACACATAGATCACTGCCCTGGCCAGAGGACTGGAACCATTCCTACAGAAGCCATTGACATCTGGTTTCCAGAATTTGGAACTGGTTTTTTGACCTCTTGGGGTCAAGACAAGTTGATTCTAGGCATAAATGTTACTACCTTATCAAAGGCCCCTTTGTGTAAGTTTGTGTGACAGGGTTCTACAGCTCTGGAGGGAGGAATGTTTACCAGCAAGCAGCAGGCTGAGGAGATTATTACATGCTGAGAAGCAGCATGTGAAAGTCTCCCAGGACTGGTAAGCTCTGGAGACCAGTTGTTCTGTTTAATCCACCAGAACTGATAAATTCAGAACACCAGAAGCCTGCTGGCTGTGTACACAACCACTACCCACATCAGTATCAACCATGGGATGCATTAACTTGGATCATGTACAAGCAGGTAGTGCCTGTTACATGCAAAAAAAAAAAACCTACAGGATTACATATACACACTAACAAAGCAAAGCGCTCTTCAAAGGACTTTCTAAACTACCTACCTTGGAGTCAGAGGTCCCAGAGGTGGGGCCTGGCCTCCCAGTTGTTACTCCTACAGAGTAATTATGAGTGTGTAAGTGAATGTGTTGTGCGAATAGCTATCTGCTATTAGTAACAGCTCTAGTAACAAAACACCTTCTGTTTGCTGTAATGCCTATGTCTCCCAATTTGATCTGCTATCATGGAAAGGGGAATTTACAGAATCAAACATCCAGCTACATTTTCAGTTATTTCTTGGCAACACTAATCCCCTGTACCTAGGACTGTTGCTGTCACTGATTTAATCTGTCACATGACTTGCTCAAAAAAGTACTTGCAGAACTTGTTTTATGTAAGATCTCATTTCCAAGACTTTCCTGGAAATCAGAAAATGGAACTCCAACTGTTCATGATAGAAACATTGTTAGCCAATCTAACCAGGTTTTGCTAGTCTGCGCAATTTGGACTCTTCATTTGAACACCAGCATGTGCAGAGATTAATCATCACAATAGATCAAATAAATAGAAGGTTAACACCTTTACTTGCTTTTACTTCTGAAAGGCAAGTTTAGGAAAGGAAATATTTCTAAACAAGATTCCTGCTGGTGCTATTTGATGATAAGATTCTAGAGTGCCTGAACCTTTGTTCATGCCTGCTCCATTTTTCCATTATTCCTGGCAAAAAACCACACATACCAGCATAAACCTTTCAAGTATTTCAAGGAGACCTTTGGCACATAAAAGTATCTCCTATGCATATGCAGTACACCTACTAATTGCATCACTACCACTGAAAGTTGTGCCATTATTAGTCGGTCAGAGAACTACTCCCAGGAATCTTAGAGCTGTTAGGAAAGCTTCTAATGATCTCATCTGACAATATGCAAACTAAGCATTAATGCTTCAGGAAAGACTCTTTAGCAGGAACATGTTGTTGTATGTGCTACTATTCTACTCTAATAATTTCACTTCTACACTTCCGTGATTTTGCTGTTTGCTTCTTTAAAGTAACAATTCCATGGAATTACAAACTGGCAACTTCGGTGCCTAGCAGCTTCTTTTCATTTGTCCCATTTTACTAGTTCAATACAGGGATGTGAACACCTGGAAGTTTCTCTTTAAAAACAGACAGACAAACATGATGGTTATTACAACATGAGAGCAGGTTGCTACAGTAGTGCTAATAAAAATCATCTGCTGGACTGTTTACACTGCTTTGCATAAACTCCTTCAAGTGCCCTGAGCTAAACAGTAGCTTTGTTGCTCTGAAGGTTTCTACTTAGATGGCTTAGCAAGGTCTTGCCCTTTGCTGCAAGCTACAGGATTGCACTTTCAAGATTTTTCACTTCATTTAAGTGTTTATAATCAGGAACTTCTGGAGATTCCAGTGACAACTGACTGCCAAGCCCTGACAATGAGCTCTTATGCTTTGACTATTGCCTGAACAGAACTGTGGCTTAACAAAGAAAGTTGGGTTTTTTTAACAATTCTTTCTCGTCCAGTAAATACTGAGTTTCAAATATCCAGGACAACTTCTTAAGACATTCTTGGCATCTTAACAGAAAATTTCCCTTCTGTATAGCCAAAAAGGAGTCATTTAATACTTTGAGTATCTCAAAAGTGAAGCTACATCACTAAAATGCTTTGAACTTACAAAGCACAGTGTTCTCTCATTTACTGTTTTTCTAGCTAGTATTTTGCATTTAATGTGCATTGGTTCACTCCTGTTGCCAACATGAGAAGGCGCCTTGGACTGAAAAACATCACCACTTAGTGCATCTAGAAGACACACATTCAGAAGTTGAACTTTCTGATGAAAAAAAAAGACATAAAATTATTCTGAAACATCAGTATTCCTTTGAGTCAATATCTTCCATTTTTCCTGTCAAACTTTTATTGTCAGAGAGAGTGCATGTGGGAGATATTAACTATTAAAACTCTGTTTACAGGGAAAATGAAAAGCAAAATTTTGACAACTTCAGAAAAATAGTGACAAACACTAGCAATGTTTTACTTATGTAAAGCAGAGATAAAAGGAAGCAAATTACTTTTCTGCCTCTCATGAAGCTGAAAAATTGTGGAAAAAATTGATTAAAAAGTTACTACCTCAGCAAGTAGTACAGGCAGTTCTCTTCCTGGATACATAGGCAGTGTCTTACTCAAACCAGAGAAGGGAGGAATAATAGGCAAAGCTGCCCATTATTATTTAAACTACTTGAGATAGGCCAAAACCACTGAGCAGCCAGTATCAGCAGACAATCATTTGACTCTGGGATTGAGAAAACTCATCTTCTGACATTCAAGTTCAGTTAATGCCCAAGGAAGGATTTACCAATGAGATTAGCCCTACCACTAAATTCTGTGTGGGAATGGACCTCCCAAACCTGAAGCAGTTTGATTATAGAGTGAATCTTCATGAGCTCTTGAAATCTGGTAAGAGGCCTAATCTGGTTCTCCAGCTCCAATAAATACTTCATACTCTCTCAGATCTAAGGGTGGGCTCTAGGAGATAGGGCTGAAAGGTACAATCAGAGTCTTCTTCCTCAGGGGGTATCACTAGAAATTATTTAAAAGGTTTGATATATCATGAAGATAAACTACCTCTTCTTTGAATTAGAATGTCAAACTCCATACTCAAACTATGAATTAAAATTGGTTGCATAGCTTAGATCTTTTCTATACTTGTCTTAAGATTTCTAAAAAATGCTTAAATTTTACCTGTGTAAACAGTTATCTTTCAGGTTTAAAAGAACTATTTTAAAGAGCACATGCTTATTATTTTTTGTATATAAAATAGTTCATTTATAGTTCAAGAATTATGATTTTAGAGGAGGACTTATTAAAAAATACCTTAAAATATATTTTCAAAATCTGTAACAAAATAATGACTCATCAATCTTTAATATTAAGTTCTTGCCAAAGCAGCTACAAGTCATCAATCAAAATACCAGTATTTATCTGTAGAAATAACAGAGCTTTAGAATACAAAGCAATATAATGACCCATGAAAGTATAAATATTATTTAGTAGTATAATTTTAATAAAAATTTTAAAAATAAATTTAGTCAATCATTTCTAGGACTTGCTCAGTCTCCACACAATCATATCTGAACTGAGCTGAGCTTCTGCTATTTTCAAAGCAATTTTCTGGTAGAGGGCACCATTCATAGTTTGATTCATACTTAGCAAACTCTCTTCCCGCTCATTCTGAAGTTTCTTCCTGAACTGCTGAACTCCTTCCTCAGTGTCCAGTAAAGAAGCCAGAGGAGCATTATCCATTTCCTTGCCAGTCTCATTCCCCCATGTAAAACTGTTTTCAGCTTTACATTCTTTTGAGAAGAAAGAACTCTTCGAGGTGAGCATTTCTTT